GGCCTATGCCTTGGTTAAAATATCTGTGCAGATGCACTTTTTCTGATGAATAAAAATGGCGTAATAAATAATTAAGCCTTTCTAGCTTATTAGTAGAGCATTTAAACCTCATTCTCAAGAGTATCCTTCACCTTTCACAAGGCTGTTCACATTTTTAACTCCCACTCGATCACATACAAGGCACAGAAAATACTGACGGAGAAGAACACGGGTGTCTGGCATATAATTTCTGTCACTAGGAATTATTTTTGCCCCCTCTGGTGTGTGACCAGCCCCCCGCCTAATCAGCTTCACTCCCATGGATTTTACTACCACTGCTACAGCCCTGCACAAGGACGGTGCTCCTGCAACAGCCTATCATTGCCACTTCTAAGAAGCAGGCAGGAGCCGCCACCAGCACCCCAGGGAGCGAGGCCATGCTCAAATGCTTTTTTATCTAGTGCCTGTTTCCCTGTGTTCACAGGGACTCGGTGGATACAGGCACAGAAAGAACAGTGGTATTTGCTGGGGAATATGCCATGGTGAGCACATGCAAGCTACAATAAGACACAGGATTAGTCTGTGAAAATCTATGCACCAGCCTTAATTAAAAAACCAAGAAAGTGTTCAAACTTTCTCATTAAAATATCATTAGCAGCCTGATTTCAACCCACCAAAGGCATGGTGTTTGCATGCTTTTGTCATAAGCCTTGGCATTTCTGCAAACTGAAGGTGTAAATTCAGCTCAGTTGAACTGCAACACAACAGGCCAGCTAAGTTTAAATGACAGCCTTAGCTCTTAATTTTTTGGCATTTGTGCGCTGCAGTCAGACCTTTACCATCATTTGAATGCTGGGTTTTATATTTAGTTTCATAGGGGCTGCTTTTTTTTTTGCCAGTTCTGCGCTAAGATTACTGCTTTTCCCTCACTTACTTCCTGAGGCTATGGCCCTTGGCAAAGAAAATGACAGGAAAAATATTTATAAGCCATAGACCTGTCATAAACTCCAGCCAGTCAGAAGGGCTGGTAGTAATATTCCTACTGCAACCTTACTGAAATCATGGAAGAGCTTCAAGAATTTTCATTTTTAATCATTTCAAATCAACCTATTTCCCAGACCAAATAATCGAGCTGTCCGAGTCCAGTGGATGTCAGTAGGGCCACACGTTGCTTTTTCAGCCAGAGAGCAGAAGCCATTATAAATAATACTACAGCCTTCATGATGGAGATTGTCCTTTCTACAACTTACAGCCTGGAGGCTTCATTATTCCATTGGCCGTAATTCAATTTGCCCCTTCCTAAAAGATCTGTTTCTGTGACCCACCCCCACCCCGGGAAACATGCTCAGCTAATAATTTCCGATTAATGCAGTCAATTACTAACTCACCCCCAACCCCTTACTGTCACCTGATTGGGCCAGAGAGGGAAGGAAGCGGCAACTAGCTGGAGAGGGATAGAAATGGGGGTAAAATAGCAATAAAAAGTAATTACATAAAAATGCTAAACATATTACATCTGTTAGTTTGCTTAGCCCACTGGGCTTGACAATTCCAGGTTTCTGCCATTGTCCGTGCTCAGACAGACAAGAATAAGGAAAACAGGGAAAGGATTTTTGAATAAGATTATTAAATCAGTGCATGAAAAATAAGAGTCGTCATTACACTGCAAAGGGAGAGAGAGAAACTCACTGAAATTTCTTTCTGCAGATTTGCCTTTGTGATCTGCAAGGTACTGTTCTCCTGCTTACACTCCGTTACCCTGGCAACGTACTCCTGTAAAATAAAGATTATTAAAGCGCATATGATTATTTGGTGGCTGAGTGAATGAGGCGGCCGCTTCTGAAATTCCTTATCAGAGAAATTCAATTTTAGGCCAAATTGTGTTTTCACCGCCTCCCAGCTTCTCCCTCCCCCCGTGCAATACCAATAAAACCATCATCTCCCCAGCCGTACACGGTATTTGTCACTAACTCTTTCACGCCTTCCCTTTCCCATTCCAGGTTTTATTTTTGCTTCATGAAAGTAAATTCTTTCCCTCGCTTGTGCAGTTTTTTTGGTGGGTTAAGGCTTTTCAAATAGCTTCAGATTATTTTTTTTCTGGCATGTACAGCTAGCAGCAGCAGAGCCAGAAGGAGGGCTGGTGAACAGCCCCTGCCCTGCCAGAGGAGAGGACACCCCACACCAGGACCGCCCTGGTGCTCTGCCCCTCTGCAGAAGCCCATAGACACTGCTCATGAGCATCCCCGTTCACAGATCATCACTCCCACCATTCCCTTCCCAAGCCCCAGCTCCCCGTGGAAGTGCCACGTTGCCGGCGCTCAGGCTCATCCCAGCACCAACCAGTGGGAGGCCTGAGGACCCAACAGCAGGGGTGGGCAATTACTTTGGGTCGAGGGCCACCTCATGAGTTTTGGTGAGCTGGAGAGGGCCACATGGGTAGCTCCGCCCCTTGACAGTTGCCCCACCCCTGGTTGCCATCTTAGGGAACGAAGTCTCACCCCTTACTCCCTGACCCTTGCCACTGGCAGTCCCTCCCCTTGCACCCCTGGAAGTACTCTTTTTGGGACGGGGGTTGCCACCTTGAAACCAGGAAAAGAAAAAAACACTCATAAACTAAAAGTCAAACACTTAGTAGAACAGATTTTAATTTTATTTCAAAAAAATATTTTTGTCACTAGTTGCATTTGTGTAGCATATATAGAAGGGATTGCATAATAACTCAAAAATAAATTCTTAGTCTTGTACCGTGTGTGTGTGTGGGTATGGTGGGGTGTTTGCAAGCTCCCACCCAGCTGCAGCCCCAGCCCAACCCTGCCACTTCCCTACCTGCTGCCAGGAGCAACCTGGAGGCAGGGGAAGCGGAGCAGGTCCCCGGGGGCTGCAGCAGCAACAGCCCTGCCTGGAAGCTGTGCTGGCCGGGCCTGGCGAAGCGAGGTGCAATAGGGTATATTTGGGGTGGGGGTGTACACGTGGATGCCTCGTGGGCAGAAGGGCTGGGCGGGGTGCAATTTTTTGGTGGATCCTGCGGGCCACATGAAGGTGCTTGGCAGGCTGTATTTTGCCTGCCCCTGCCATACAGCCTACAGAAATTCTTGGCTAATATCTCCCTAACCCAGCAAGTACTGCTAGAGATCATGCTCCATCCCAAAACTATCAGTGGTGTCCAGGAGACAGAAATCCTGCACTGGCTTAGCAGGAAAGACATGCTGCAGCCTTTGTAAGGCTGACTGGGACGGCGGGGAGCACGGGGATAGGCACTGCAGCCTGGGTAGATGCACCGCAGCTAGCTTTCAAGGGGCTGGATCAGGCACAGCTAGCCATGCAGCCAAGGCATTTGGGACTCCTTCAGGCTGCCTGTCCAAACAGCCACCTCGCACCTGGCTGGTCTGCAGCCCCCCCAAGTACAAGGCTGCTGTGGGGGTGCTGCAAGCAGCACCCACACTACGCGCAGCTTGCTTGAAGACGTCTGCACAGCCGCAAAGGCGCAGCCTGAGCTGGGCCCGTGCCACGTGGCTACAGACTCAACAGGAGAGACTCAGCCACCGAGGACTTTTAAGGCACCGACTACTGGAATATTCTAAACACCAAGCGCTGTGCTCGGTTACTATGGTGATTTATGCTATTCCTATACCATAAATAGATTAAACAGCACAAAGAACATCTAAAGGCGCTCTCCCCTCCTCTGCCCATTTATCTGTATTCCAGCCGTGCGGGAGGGGCTGGGCCCATCGTGCCAGGGATTGTGTGCACACACGACCAGAGGAGAAAAGATGATTCCTGCCCCAATGGGCTTACAAGCAAGAAGATCACAAAGCAAGAGCCATATTTTTCCTTCTTTTTGCTTCTGCTTCCCCCTCCTCTCTCTCCCTCTCTGTCTTTCACAGATTACTATTATGGAAATATGGCATTACTGCAGAAAGGCTTTACTAAAAAAGCTGTATCTTGCATTTCTCTAAGGGCCCCTGGACTCAGGTTTCATCTGCAGCAAAGGCAGGAGTGGCTGACAGATGAAGCAAGTGGAGTACAACCCGCTACTAACAGGGCCTTCCTTCTCCAGCGAGGACGAGAACAGCTGATGTGCACAGCAGACTGTAGTTCTGGTAAAGGGTGAACTACAACAGCCTGCCAGTGAGGGCCATGGCAAAACTGGCAGAGCACCGAAAGCAAGCCTTGCTAAGCCTGAAAGCAACGGCAGCTGTAGGGCATGCGGGTTCAAACCCAAGCATGTCTCCAGACTCCTTTTTTATTTTCTTTTTTAATGAAGAGGCTCCTCGAGCCTCACACCATTTGATCTTTTTTTTTATTTTTATTTTTTAAAGAAAAGGCTGTCAGTCCGCCCCCAAAACTGCTCCCGCACCCCTTGTTCTCAGGGTCCGGATTCCAAAGGCAGGGTGCGAGCGGTGCCAGACACTGCCAGTGCCGGGCAGCAGGGGGCACTACCGCCCCACCAGCTGCAGGAGCCCAGCCTTGGGGCGTGCAGGGAGCGGAGAGCAGCATCCTGGGCTCTGCACAGCCACGTGGACCTTACTCTGGCATGGGAAAAGACAGCAAGGGCCAAGAAAGGGAGCCTGCCATCACAGCCAACGTCCCAGGAGGCGAGCAGGGAGTGCCGAGCGCTCCCAGCAAACAGGACCAGACTGGGGAGAGTAAGAAGCGTGCTCTGACCCCATGGAGTTGCTTTATAGGCAGGAGAAGCAGAGCCTGGCCCAGCCCTTCTCACTGAAGCGCGCTGCTGTGCATGCTATGTGGGGGTAGGCGCAAGGGGAGACGAGGGCGCAGCTGGGGTGGGATGACAGAAGAACCAAAGGCGATAAAACACAGAGTCTTTTGTTTGAGGAGCTGCACAAATTAACTCCAAATTACTGTCACAGGCAGAAAAAAATGGAGGCTGGGAGGCACAGGACTTGTTGCTGCACTCCATCTTGCCTTATTGTGGTGTCTCTCCTCATGTAGTAACAGCTAAAAGCTATCCCCTTCACGGTACTGCAGCTTTTAATATCTCCTCTTTTTCCCCCTGCAGTTTAATTAAAAAACAATGAACCTTTTAAGTAGCTGAATGAAAAATATAAAATTGCACTGTTCTATCAAAGCTTAAGATCTCCACATTCTGTGAGCATGGGGAGAACTCAAAGAATTTACTGGGAACTTGATTACACCCAAGTCCCTTGCTTACCTTCATCAGAAGGCTGGAGGCTGAGAATTAAAAATCAGGCCAAGGTAGATGCATCTGATTCAGCAGGCACAGGGGATTCAACTCCTTCAGGTAGTATTAAACAAAATTACACTGACTCCAGAAAGGAAATGAAATTGCTTCTTTTAATGATATTGAACTCATAATTGTTCCTATTTTTCTTCATGTTTAATAACTACGAGCCTATGCAACTAATAGGCTTTATGAGCAACAATTAGTAAGCACCTGAAATGCAGAGTGGATGAGGCACTCAGATGAAGAAAGTGATGGCAGAAACTGCACAGGGTTACAGAAAAACCAGGGTGAACATGTTTCTTAGAACTAAGTTGCATGCTTTTATTGCAAATTATAGAATTTAGGACACCTGACTTCAAGTCCGTCTTTACCACAGTCTTCCTGTGTGACCCCAGGCAAGGTACGTACCTCTGTCCCTCAGTTCCCAGTCCGCAAACAGAGAATAACAGATCCCCCGACCTCACAGGGCCAGGCATTGCAAGGACAAATACAATACATGCTGAGAAGTTCGATACTCTGATAATGCATACAATAAGTATATGCAAGGGCCAAGAGGCCAGCATTTATTTTTTCTAGCATAGGAAGAACTATCATGGTAATCTTCATTCCAAGATTGTGTTCAAATTAAACTATACCTAAATATTCCACTCACTACAGCACTGGCTTGCTTCCAGGCAGCCCAACATAGCCCCACTGAGTGCCCAATTCCTTCATTCAAGCCACTCATCTTGGCTACTCTCAGTCTCAGTGCAGATTAAACAGCAGCAGTGTACTGCTTCTGTCCTAGTGGCACATTTTGAGGTTAAACCCCGCAAAAGCAGCAGTTAGGAGAGAGCCAGGTTCTATTCCTGACTAGCCCTAGTGGAGTGATGCTGGCCCATTTAATCAATCTCTTTATGCCTCATTTCTCAATCTGTAAAACGGGATAACCCTATGCCCCCTCAATTTCAGAAAACATTTCCAGATGCCCGTGCGAGAGCTCAGTGCAAGTACAAACACTTGCTACAGTATTGCGAAGGCTGAAGTCGAACCCCTTCCTAACACACATCAGTCATCTGCTGCTTTGCAAAAGGTTGATCAGAAACCGACTGGAGAGACAGCCCAAGCCAATGGCGCTGGCCTCCAGCCTCCTCTTTCTCCAGACCTTGTCAGGTTTTCCTGTTTTTGGCAAGATTACACACAGGGATGACAAAGGCAATCATGTTAAAGGAGCACACTTGGATTTTTCCAAGGACTCTAACTTACTGCCACATGACATGTTGATTAGATGCTTCCATGACATGGAAATGAAAGGGCACACATCAGATGGACCCAAAACTGGCTTATGGACAAGTCTCAAAACACAGCTGTCAGTGGGCAGGTATTGGGCTGTTTGGGGCCACCTGGTGATTTGGTCTTGATCCCATGTTATTTAATATTCTTAGCAACACTGTAGGCAATGAAATACTTTTCTGAGTAACATCTGAAGGTGAGATAAAGATTAGCAGAGTAGCAAAACAATGAAAAACCACTTATTGC